TGCTGGCACAGCACTTGATCAATGTAATTCTCATCAATCAGTTAAAGAGGTTTCCGAAAGGGGAAAAAAATTGGCATGCTGCAAACCTCCCAAAAACGCCCCCCCTTTTTTTTCAAAAAAAGATATGAATAGCCTTGGGGGGGGGGCTTGCAGAGTGCTGGGGGGGGGGACAAAAACGAGCCAAAAACTGCCTGTTTTTTGTGAAAATGGGCCCGTTTTTTTTGTCAAAAAAAATGCATGCATAGCTTTATGGAGGCTTATAGAGTGCTGCTGGGGGCTGGGGGAGGAATGGCTCATTTTTTGCTCATTTCTGCCCTCCCCAGCCTCCAGGAGCTCTCTGAAAGCCTCCATAAGGGTATGCACGGCCATTTTGGTGAAGGGGGCGGAAATTTGGGAGGCAAAAAAAATCCTGTATTCGGTGTATAAGACACACCCAGATTTTCAGCCTCTTTTTTGAGGAAAAAAGGTTTGTCTTATACTCCGAAAAACAGAGTAGCTAATTTTATTAACTAACTGCTTTATTCCTTGTTGTTTTAATAGGGGACTTGCCAAGACTGCATGGTAAAAGGACCAAATCTGTGGGCATGCTTAGAGGTAAGCAGAATTAACATACAGTTGATATTCAACTGCAGCAGTTCATTTAGTGACCTTTCAAAGTGATTTATGACTATTTTTCATACATGACCTTTGTAGCAGCTCCATGGTCCCATGATCAAAGTTCAGATGCTTGCCAACGGAGTCATACTAATGACAATTGCTATGTCCCAAGGTCATGTGATCACCCTTTGCAGCCCTTTGACAAGCGAAGTCAATGGGGAAGCCAAATTCACTTAAAAATCTTGATACTAACTTAACTGCAGTAATTCACGTAACAACTATGTCAAGAAAGGTTGTAAAAAAGGGCAAACCTCACTTAACAAATGTAACAACATAAATTTTGGGCTCCATTGTGGTCTTAAGTCGTGGACTAGCTGTATATAATATGCAATGACTAAGAGTTTCTCTTTCTGAAATGCAACTTTGCCAGGCATTAACTCTGCAATCATTATTTATTCGTCTATGACTTTTATTGATCTCTAGTCAGAACTAAGGCTACTTGAAATTTCTGGATGGTATGATTGTTTGGAAATTGTATATTGTTTCCTTAATGAAGGCTACATTTCAAATCAATTTTTGAGCTCTGCTTAGCATTTGCAAAGTTGGCAATCAAGTCTAGTGCCTTAAGAGTCGAACCACAGTACATTTTAAGTTCATCTGAAACTTGCAGGTCAACATTCCATTTTTATTGGAAATGTGGAATGAAATATATGTTGTTTCTATTATGTTTAGAGAGTATTCCAGAGAATATTTTTAAGATGATTTAGCAAAGCCATATAGTTTTGTAAAGTCTCTTTTGTGAAAAAAATAGTTCCCTATCAAAATGGAATGGTATATGAAAAACATTTTAACATTTGCCTGTGTATTCTTTCTGAAAAGTCACTTTATATTTTAACTTCATTGTGTTAATCAGAAGATTTTAGTGTAACATACATATAAACTGCCTTATTAATTCAACTTTGTAGTAAGAATTTGAATCAGTCCAAATAAATTGATGCATTTCATTCTTTGTTTTTGTTAGCTATTCAGTTTCATAGCAGAGCTTTCCGGGAAGATACACTATTAACCATGTTTGTAAACATAGACATTTTATGTTATAGTAGACATTTATCTTCAGTCAGATAAATGAATTGAGTTGAAAAGCTTTGGTAGATGCTGAAGTTCATTATGTAATGTTAAAAAACATTTTTATGATATATATTCTGGTTCAAGTAATTATAGGGTTATAGCTAAAGTTTGGCCATAAAAGAGTAATTGTGTATAGGTTGCCTTAGAAATGGAATTTATAATAAATATGCAAATATCATTTGATATGATTTAAGTGATCATGGAAAAGAATAATAGTTCTAAAGGATACATAATTAACAGAATATGCTATACCTTTTATAACTTTATTAAAATGTTTTTTTAAAAGAAATATTAAAAACTAATGTAAAGTAAGTAAAAAAGGAAAAGAAAAAAATCAGAAAGAAAGCTAAAATGCAAGAAAGGGAAAAAGAAAGGGAAAAAGAAATGAAGAAAAAGTGAACCACATGGTCATATGTGTGACAATAACAATAAAATAAAGAGTTGGGTAGTTTGTCACAAAGGAAAATTTAATTTGTGGGTTTTACATTTTTAATTTGGCTTCTAAAATAAGAACAAATCATGGTCCAAAAAGGTTGCATAACAGATTTGTTAATATTAAGTATGACTATTTTGGTCCATTCCATAAATCATTTCCAACAAACCTATTTACAATGCCTCTTCAGAGACTTTCTTTGGCACTGTCATTGTTCAATTTACTTTCAATATTTACTTTGCTTGATTTAACAGAATAGATGCTCCTATGTTGGTTGTGGGGAGTCACATATAGATCATAGCACCATACATTCAGAGGTACGTTTGAATATTCTTTTCACAGTTTACACAATCTTCACAGTTCAGAATTTCTTGGTGCTCTGTGGTTACACATAGCATTCTGTCCTGCCAGATTTCTCTAATGATAATTTATTAATATGCATGATTAACAGAAATTTGAATAGCTTTATGTTGGAATCCCAGAATAATTCAATTTCCTGTATAATTTATTCAGTACATTTATATTCTGTTTTTCTGAGGAATTCAGTGAGCAAAAAAAAATTAAAACAAGCATATAAAATATATGAGAATATTAACCAACGAAGGAAATGGCAAGTTAAAATTCTGAATTATTTAACTGTTCAAGAAAGGTTAGTTAAATCCATAGTCATCTAAATTGACTCTGATAATGTTTATTTTGAACAATTGTGTAGGAATAATATGTATGTGGAACAGGTAAAATAATCTTTGTAAAATGCTTTTAAGCATTAAACCTTTTGTATATTGTTTGCCAATATTTTGATGCTTTTGTTAGTAATTTGATAACTAAATAAATAGCTATGGCACTAGTGTTCACAGAATGCAATGAAGTAAAATGCTTTAGTTTGATATTTTTTTTATGAAAATTACATGTTATAATTGAACTTGTAATTCCCAAAATATTTCTGCTAAAGGGGGCTTTATGTAGAAACTTGATATTGGAAGAAAAATGATTACAAAACACTATTTCAATTCTGAACTAGTAAAACTGCATTCTTTTGCAGTCAAGAGTCTTGAAGCAAGGGAAACACACTCTAAACAACATTAATCTGGATGAGAAATGCACTGCCCATGGGAAGGATATTAATAATTATACAGGGTCGGGAGATTTGCTGCTGTTATTCTATTTAGTATGGTATTACCTTGAAACTGTCAGTTGACCTTTTAGTACATGTGGACTTAGCTATCTGTCTCCTTCATCTTCCCTCTGCTAAAGACTATATAAAGTACAAATTATAAGGCAATAATTAATCTTTATCAGTTTGTGAGTGGGTAAATGTATGAATCGGTATGTGAGTTGCTATACCAGGAGCAGAGATCTGTATACTGTATCTGTATCTGTATACCAAACAGCATTGGACCATAGTATGGACAATTAGAGTCTATAATCATTAAGTAAAGAGATATTCAAGCTGCAGTTGATTGATTTAGACAGTATATGTACAGTACAGATTTATATACACAAACACACAAACACACTGCACTTGGTTATAATGAAAAATAGCATTTATTAATATTTTGTTTTCTAGGAAACAAAGCATTGTTTAACAGTTAATCTTACAACACTTCGTGTCTGGTGTTATGCATGCAGCAAAGAAGTATTTCTGGATAGAAAGCTAAGAACTCATTCTTCCTTACAAAATGTACGGTTATCTTCCCCTGGTCCAGAACATATCATACAGGTAATCTGGCATAAATTCTAGTAGGATTTTATAGGAAGATAGCATTTCTTGCTGTTGAGATTTGTAATATTGTAACTAAAAAAGGGGGAAATGTATTATTCTGTCTGATAGCATCCAAAAAATATTTTAAAAGAAGCTTTAGTATGAAAAATGTATGGCTTTATAAAAGAATTGTGCTTATAAATATTATAATATAAACATTAACAAAATATAATTCTTTTTGCAATCCTGGTTTTCCTTGAAAACCAAACTGTGTATCAGTATTTATAGTTGAGATTGTAATATATCTATTTTTGTATAAGTAATGTTTGTATTGTGGCTTTGAATCCAAACAACTCCTTGCCAAGGATTTTTTGGCAAGTATTAAAATTAATTATCATTGAAATTATTTAAATATTAAATACTAAGTCACCTGCAGATTGACAAGAGAAAAATATCTCATTTAGATACATTTATGTAAAAATAGGTTTAAAAGTAATAAAATATTTCTAGCTTACTGCATTTTTGTAGCATACACATCTCAATTTTTTCTGTGAATAGACTGCATTTATTTATATGCACAGTAGTTGTTTACACTATGAGCCATCTGATGAAAGAACTAAGAAATATCCCAAAGCTACATCAAAGCTATTGTTATATATCAAAGCTATTGTGTCATTAATTTGTAATATGCAGTTATTCTGTAAAGATGAAACAATTTCTATTGCCACACAGTTTGTTGTGGCAGATTTAAGTTCCTATAGGAGAGGTTTTTTAGCCAAGTTGCATTATTCAATAATGAAATATTATGTATACAAAATTGGATTTTTGGCTTTGTATGGAACAAAACATGTATTGGAAATGGATATAAATACCTTATTTTTCGGATTATAAGATACACCTGACTATAAGACACACCTAAATTTAGAAGAGGAAAACAAGAACAACAACAAAAGGGTTGTGGCATGTTTTTGAGGCTTTTTTCAGTCTTTTTTTGGAAAAATGGGCCAAAAAAAGCCTTGAAAATGGGCCAAGAAAAGCCTCAAAAATGGGCTGAAAAAGCCTCAAAAATGGGCCGAAAAAAGCCTAAAAAATGGACCAAAGGCCTGAAAAAGAGCCATGTAGAGGCAAAAAAGCGTTGTGTGGACCCTGGCAGGTGGCTGAGGCTTTAGCAATATTCAATCTATAAGACACACAGACATTTTCACCCCCTTTTGGGAGACAAAAGAGTGCGTCTTATAGTCCGAAAAGTACGGTAACTTCATAGGCTCATTAGAAAAAATACAAAGAAAAGTCGTAATCTTTATGAAGAATGCTGCTTACAATTTTGCTTTTTTAAAATCTTTCATTAAGGATATTAAGTTACCCAGTATCCCTACACTGAAAATTCCTTTAATTGCAACATTTGATGATCTAGATGTACAAATTGATGAAGAAGATGAATTAAAGGCTAGAGGTAATAAAGTAGGGTAATTCACATGAATATTATTAATTGAACAAATTATTAATGTGATATTTATTAATTCATTTTTAAGGTTAAAAATGTGTTGCTAGGATGTGCTTGGCTCTCTCTCTCTCACACACACACTCTCTCACATATATATATGAGATATATGTATATGTATGTATGTATGTATGTATGTATGTATGTATGTATAGATATAGAGGATGTGCTTGGTTTCTCATGGGTGAACATTTTTTTTACTTTTTGGAATTAGCCTAAAAATGGGAATGCAGTTGGATGGTGAATGTCACACATTGTCATATATGCAGATTTCTGTATGATAGCAATATAGTAACATTGTTTTCAGGGTTACTGAAAATACTTAGAAATTCTGTAAATACTATAAAAAAACCTGCATCTAAATTTCCACAGAACGAAGGCTTATTTATATCCTGTACACACTAACTTTTTTCATTGGCTTGCTAAGCAGTATTTCTTATTTACAGGTTTGACGGGCTTGAGAAATATTGGAAACACTTGTTACATGAATGCAGCTTTACAAGCACTTTCAAACTGGTAAAAAATGAATATAAAACTGTTTGTGTTTTCCTTTAGCCAGAAATTTCAGTAATTTCTGGGGAAAAGATAAAAAATAAATAGTCGTGTAAGAAAATTGCCCTATTGATGAGATTGGAAGCATATATATTTAATAAATGAATAAATAAATTTTAATCTATATGAAAAGCTTCTAGCTGTACATTTTCCAGCTTCTGGCAGTTTTTGTGAAAAAAGAAACAAAATTTTTGGAACAAATTTTCTCCTTAAAAATTTGTAAGAACATAGTTTTTTTGGTTACTTCCTGTTTCGTGGATTACCGTATATACTCAAGTATAAGCCGAGTTTTTCAG